GATGTCTGGGCCGGCATGCGAGAATGGCCCGGAAAGACCAACTTGGAGCTCTATCTTATGCAGACCCTCCAGGATGGCCAGTTCCTGCTCGAGAAGCCCGAGGAGCAGGCCGCACGACCCGGAATGCAAGCGACCCCGCGCTCCAGCAAGGACACCATCGCAGCAGACGAGTTCTTTGACAAGGCTGTCAAGCGTCTGTTCGAGGTCGTTGACGATGAGCCCAGCGCCGGCGGTATTCCAGAAGGAGTCTTGGAGATTGGAAATGCCATCCTTCGCAAGCTGGAGGACGAGAAGAGCCTGCGCAGGGCTTCGCAAAATTTCTTTGTCTCGCGTTGGCTCTTCTCTACCTTCCTTATGAACGCCATCATCCATCCCGAGGCATGTCTACCCTTTCTAACGCAAGAATTGCGAGACTAACAAGAACAGACCCATGGCATCATGATAGGCCACCACATCAGTGAGCATGCTCGCATCAAGATTCTCAAAGAAGTCGCCATCCGAGCGCAGAAATGTGTCGTGAACATGACCTACAACTGGTATGCCGCTATGCTGGAGTACCCTTGGGCCATCAGCTGACAAAACTGTAGGAAGCAGAAAAACGAAATCCTCCCAGAGATCCGCACACACATCGAAAACATCCTCGCTCGGTTCAAGCACACCAAGACACCCTCGAAGCCAATTTTGCTTCCTGCAAAGGCAATAACATCACCCAGAGAAACTGTGGAAGTTCAGCCATTCATTGTCTTGTCACCAGCCGACATTGTCACCCTGGTCAACGCTCTATTCCCGGAGCGACGTCCGTCGTCCAGCCACATGGACAACGACAGCCAGCGCCGTACTGGTCTGACTTCCTCTGCGTCTTCCATGTCCGGAATGTCGGTTCCATTTCGCAATGCCGCCGCTTCTGTGACTGACGCAAGCTCTATCCTGAGTGCCAGTGCTTCTTCAATGACCAGCGACCAGACCTCGCGTGAGCCACTCCTGGACAGCAACCCGGTATCCGGCGAATCACCGACAGAGATGAAGCCTGCACCAACAGAGCAATACGGAAGACAGCTGCGAATGGCATGTTCTGAGATGACTCGCCTCCTAGGTTTCGAAGCCACATCAGGCTCTTGCCATCCGTGCGCAGAGCGATGGGCTGTCCTTTACATCTCCGCTGATGGAAAGCAGCTGAAGCCGCGTATGCGCAAAGACTTTGATGATGAGGATGAGCACGACGAGGACTCACCAGACAGCGACAGCAGCGACGACGAAGAGGGCGGGAACAGGTTCGATCTTGGCAACGACTACCATCAGCTGAAAGAGGCAATCGCCAAGCTGGTGGAGGAGTACGAGATTCCCAAGGATCTTGCGCCCGACAGCGAATCGAAGAACTTCAGCAACAGAATGACGACCCGCAAAAGCACTCGTGGACGTGGCCCAGTACGCAACGTCAGCGAAAACCTCGGATCACGCAACCCATACAACTCCACTCAGAGCCAAAGCCAGCTTACCAACATGATTGCCAGCCAAAGAAACGTCTCGTCACGGCGCTCACCACAATTTCCGAGAAGTCACAGCAACCCTCAAGTCGGCGAGAAGCAAGAGAACAACTCAGTTCTGGTCACCATGCTTGAGACCGCCATGTACCAGTGTCAAGCACGATCCGATTTCGTCAATGCGCATATGTACTACAAGACATTGCAGAGTCTGAAAAGACTCAGCTCTCCGACACTGGTCAAGAACGGCTACGCAGCCCTTCTCAACTACTTCTCTCGCAGCCCGCGCGACCTCCTCAGCAAGGCAGCCAATGCCATTGAAGAGTTCGAGGCCTGGTTCGTGTGGCTCAAGCAGTCCCAGGAGCGGTCAGATGGTATGGTCGAAGAGATGATGCTCACGTTCAAGAATCTTCGAGACAAGATGTGGTACATCACAGATGTCCGCACTTCCAAGCCATACGAGGACGCCAGGAACGTTGCGCTTGCTCTCAAGATTATGGACCAACAGTCAAAGATGCTCAATGTCAGAGGCCCGTCTGGTTCTCAACCGCGAAACAGCAACAGCTTCTTACGCCAGAGCGAAGCTCAGCTGGTTGATCTGATGTCAGCGTCTCAAGACTTCGGTGGACCGAACAAGCTGTCAGACGAGCAGTCCCAAATCACGCTGAAGTGGCTTATGCAATACAGCGTGGAGAACTTTTGCAAGGGCGAGGAGCGGATACACCGTTTCTGTCTCGAAGTCGACAAGTGCGTCACCAAGGTCATTGGTGAGGGCGTCCTTGATGGGCCCGTGCTCTGGGCCAGCGACCTCTACAAGCGCGACCAACAAATTCTGGAGAGTGGACGGCAGAAGGGCGACCTGTTTCTGACTGGTGTTGGCACTCTTTCCATCGCCGGTGATGAGGAGTACGAGACCCACGGCCGACCTGGTTCTCGTAGCCATGACTTCTCGCAACGGCCAAGCCAAGGTAGTCTGCGTGCCGCAGCTAACCGCAATGGATCTTCCAGTTTCGACCAGAGCCCCTGGGGAAGAAACCCCATGGATGCCCCCGACTACTTCGGTGGATCTTCACCCGTCCATGCAATCGACTCTATGGCTACTTTCTGGTCACCGTTCCAGACCCAAGCGCAGTCTCCTACCAACGCCACAAGCATCCGACCACGTACCGCATCATCATCGAAGGGTACGGTGATGCTGAAGCAATCTGCAATGGTCAACGAAGACAAGCGCCGCTTCATGCTCGATCTGAAGCAAACACTCACAGGCCTGCTTCTGAGTGACCTCGGAACAATGGTCTTCGCCAACGGCAGCGAGACCGACTCGTGGTTCGGTGGTGATTTGCTAGACGACTGCTTCGAGCGTAGAGATGAAGAGGAACGGAAACGCAAGAAGCAGCTCGCCAAGAAGAGCATGAAGAACATCCGGAAGCAGACCCTGCCCGATTCACACAACTTGCCGCTGGAGACGCTCGGCCGCAACGAGCGTGGAACAGCGGCCCCGCCTGTTGCAACTTTCCAACATGCCAGTGCATCCGACGCTCACCAATCTGCCGGCGAGCAATCCTCGACTTCCAGCGACGCGACTTCGCGTTCGGTTGGCAATGCCACAGCAAAGAAGGCTGGGCTACTCGAGTTCCCGTACAACGTTGCTTTCCGACGGCTGTTGGGCAGGTTCCAGACACATCCCAACCCATACTCTAAACTGCATGCACTGTATGAGCTAGAGCTGCTCATCATAGCATCACTCTCTTCTCGAACGGGCCGCTCGTACAACAACCGTCGGGAGACTCTTCCCCCAGTTCCTCAATCACCCACCCTTGGCACCATGCCAGAGCTCAGTTCTCGTGAGCCAGCTACTCAAACCTCCCGAGCACAAAACCTCGAGGAAGCCATCGCCAACTGCGAGGAGCGCCGCTCTCATAGCATGAGCGTAGAACGCGTCAGCAACGCTTCCCCTCTACCTCGCAACGGTGCACGCTCCCCGGTTGGACCGCCAAGCACAGACATGATTGTCGAAGTCATCCAAGGCCTCTTCCGCGACGCTAACATCCGACCCAAGACCCTGTTCCGAGACCTGCAGTACATCGCATCTTTTGTGCCTGCGCAGATGTTGGACAAGACTGCACGAGGCAAGGCATTCTGGGATGTCGGTCTCGCTGCTCTCGGCCTCAAGCAAGACGTGTGCCGGATCATGGTAGAGCTCGTCGATGAGGTCATCACCCAGAACTCGAAGCGCGATGCAGGCAAAGTCAGCAGTGGAGCTGCTGTCGAGAAGGCTGGTGCATCGTCTACTACACCAGCTCCGGTTGATGAACCGCTGTCCAAGTACACCATGGAGGATGCCGGACGCATGCTTCTTATCACTGCCAAGGAGGGCGACGCAGTGGCCGAGCGTGAGCTTGCGATCTTTTACCTCACATCGCCCGAGCTTGTTCATCGTACAGTCCTGCCGCTCACCAGGCCCAGCGAGGTCTTCAAGACTGAGCTTCTCAACCGTGAGAGGAAGGCGTCGCAAGACCCCGCCCGCAGCGACCCAATGACCATGTGTGTCGCGCAACACTGGATGGAGCAGTCCATGAAGGGCGGCGACCAGCTTGCCGCCAAGTACTTGCGCCAGCGCAGCGAGCTGGAGAACATCAACCCGAGCAGGGCATAGTATGTCTTTTTCCGCATTTGGTGTTCGACTCTGCATTGATACCCCCGACCCGTCGACCTATTCTTCATTACCAGCGATACTGCGCAAACCTTTATTCATGCATTTCCGCCATGCGCACAACATCTTTACGGCCTATATACAACCATGACGGCCGGTCAAGCATAGCGAGGAGTTTCCCCATTTTATGTCTTTCACATTACCATCAAGGTTTTCGACTTTAAGCAAGCATGATTCCCCCTGTCGCCTTGATCTTCTTCTATTCGCGTTCTAGTTCATGTCTTCTTCATCTTATAACTTTACTCTTTTTTTTTAAACCCGGCGCAACATGAAGGCTTCGACGATATATGACGCTTGTAGATCCACAAGGAAAGGGTACAACGGATGGGGATACCAAATATACCAGGGCTCTTCTTCGGGAACATTATGGAGCTCGCGCATGGCCAGAGCTCCATTACTTGTCTTCCTCGGATTGTTTTCCACCGATGGCTTTCTATATGCATGAGAATAGGCTTTCTTAAAGGATACGACAACGAATCTCCTTGGACATGAACAATATCCCTTTTTCTGGGCTGGTATCTGATGTTCACATACCATATAGCGTAGATTTCTCTAGCTCTGCTGGGTAGTAACGGCATTGGAATGGATAAATTGTGCAAAAGTAATGGACTGTGCGAGTTAATTGGAGTGATCATGATTGAGCGAATGTGATGGGCTGTAAGATGGTGTTGCAGTAAGTTGGATGCCTGGTATAGTGCACGCCGATGATGGAATACATTCACTATCCTACTTCACCAAACACAGCCAGCTACAACAAGCCCAATCCCGTTACCAACATCTCAATCTCCTCGATAATAGTACCTCACTCAAGACATCAACTCTTCAAAAATATCCATCCACGAACCACCGGGAGCTGGACGAGGCGAATCCTCCGGGCTATCCTCCGCATGCGCATGATGCGCATTTGTTCCACACATACGGTGCGCCGGGTCGTTGACACCAGCATCGAAGCTTGGAGATATACCAGTCACCCTCGGGCGCATGGGCAGACGAGTAGGCTCTTGGAACGACAAACTGCGGTGAGCACTTGGTCCGGCGCCGGAGAATCTAGGACGGGCCTCTGAAATGGCGGTCTTGGGGGCGGGGATTCTGGTGGACTTCTTGGAAGAAGTATAGCCGGGGCCGGTGGGAGAAGATGAGGGCTGCTGTGCGGCTTTGGTGTGTTGCACGTAAATGTCTGGAAGGTTCTCCTTGTCCTTCTCGCGCTCACAGTCACGCTGAAGCTCACGGTCCAGCATACGCTCCAGCTCACGCCCACCACCGCGCAGAGACGCTACTACTGCCTTAGCATGGGCCTTCTTCAGTGGCTCTCTGCTCTGCCAAGTAGGGAACTTTGTGGAAGCTTGGTGGTACTCATGGGCTAGCTCTTGGTACTCAACAATTCGGCTTTTGCGCTCATCGAACAGCCTCTGTTCGTTGACACCTTCATGTCGTGCCTCGTGTGCAGGTTCCCGGCCGTAGAAGCGGAAGGGGTCGAGCTCGGCGGGCACTGTCTGGTTGGATGGTGCTCCTACGCGCTTGAAGACTAACTTCTGCTCTGGGACGGGCTTCTTTCCTTGCTTCATAGCGCTCTCGTGGTGCATGACAACAAGTTCTGGGTCTACTTGGTGGCAAAGCACATGACGAAGTTGGTGATCAGCCGGAGATGCGTGGGTTTGAACAGCTTCCTTCTTATCCTGCGAAGCTCGCTCAGGGAGGAACTTCGCATTCGGTCCAGGTACCATGCGCAACCCAGTGGAACTATCGCCTTCCAACTGTATGATGTTCTTACTGAGCAACTTCGCTTCGATGTCGGTAAGGGTATCCAGGAATGCTAGACAATCGTCCATGTTTGCAAAGTCAGCTCCACCTACGGAGACGGGTCCGTCGGACTGAGTTGCCACACGGAACCGGCCGAAGCGGTGATTCTGAGGTTGCTCGATTGGAGAACCGGGAGGAGGCGTGTGGGATTTGCGAGTAGCGCGGCCTATAGAAGCGGAGTCATGGTGGTCTTCGGCATGAGCTTGTGTGTGTAGCTCAGCAGAATCGTTGATATACTCGACATAACGGGAGACCAACTCCTCCCCTCCCTCAAAAGCGATAACATCCCACACCCACTCGAAATCGACCGGAAGGCCGAATTCATCCTCGAATGTCGGAAAGCCATGACCAGACTCCCACGCGTACATCTCCATGTCGTCGAGGTACTGGGAGCCTTGGAGCCAGTCGCTAATGATGCTTCGCACCTCGAGGCTATTCTGGTAGATGGGATCGTCGGGTCCTTCTGCAAGTTGTGGTTGAGTCCGTTCTAAGTATGCAGCAAGTGCTTCGAGATCTTGGGGCGGCATGGGTGGTTGGATGTTCAAGTCGATTGGTAGGGTGAAGAAGAGTTCGGAGCCGCTTGGAAGACGCACACAGTGCCCATTGGGATGCATGATGAACTCAGCGCAGCGCCTATCGCTAGCACGTAGGAAGGAAGGCATGTTTTGGAAAGTTGATAGTGAGATGTACTTGTTAAAAAGTGCTCTTGTTAAGTTGCTGGTGTTTTGATGATATGAGGGCTTAGTGGATGTGGTAGATTAGTAGAGGAACAGAGGACTTATATACTTACTATATGTGACATTAACCTTTGTGAAGTTTGCACTCTTGAAGCTCGGAGCGTGGATGTTGAACATGGTGTTTGAACCCAGCGCACCAAACCGTGGAAGACTTACTGTGATCGCTCGTTGGACTGTGTGCTGGCATGAAAAGTTCCATAGATATAGCGAGTGATCGCATCATGGGCACTGCCAGCTGTGCATTCAGTATGTTTGCGGGTCGTTCCTTTGAACAAAGTAATATTGCATGGGTGAGATATGGATTGCAGATGTTGTCAATGGCTCATCTGCTCCACGTTCAGTATCTACCTGCGCAATTTCACTTTCCTATTCTGCCACATGCGCTCTTCCCGCGTCGACGTTCATGCGTGGAGCCTGGTTGACATCGCAAACGAGCTGTTGTAGGCGCGACATCCAGATGTGAGATCACCTCTGGCGCGTGCGCACCTGCAAGGCTTTGCGTAAAGAAAGTCTCATTTACAACTATCTCCGGTTTGGTGGTTCTTGTGAGACTACTAATCCAACATTTCCAATATTTCCACCATCGTGCGAAAGCTCTGGATCCGATCTTGCGCGACGATACCCTCGTCGGTTTTGCAGCGGATCCTGCGCATTCGGCCAAGTTCGTGTACTGGTGCGCATTCATCCTTGCTCAAAGAAAGGAGTCTCCTCGTTACTATGCTCCTCGTTGCTATGCTCCTCGTTGCTCATTGGGTCCTCTACTTCATGTTGCTGGTGCTCTTGCAATGCCGTCGGGATTAAAGGTGTCGAAGAGTCATCACTTATACGCGAACTACTGGGCACGCTTAGTGGTACGACCGGGGCGTCGCTTTCGTTGCGTATTCCACGTGGTGTGATTGCTGGCGAGGATGAGGAGTGTGCTGTAGCGGATGTATCGAGCACAGCATTATGCGTTCCAGCGTTGTTGCGCGTCCGCTCGAACGGAAATGTGGGGTGCCTATGGCTATGGTTTCTTGCATATGCAGAATCTGCGCGAGAGAGGACTGGTTCCTTTGTGATATCCCTGGTCCACATAAGCGTTTTCCGTGGCTTTTTATCTGTACCGATCATATTGATCATTTTACCGAAAGCAAAAGCGAGTTTTCCTAGCTGAGTCAATGTGGCACGGGATATGCGGCGAGCCTGCATTGTCCGCAATCGATATTTGCGGGTCATTCGTAAACCTTCCATGGCGTCGTCGTAGTCTTCGGTTGAGAGGTGAGACTGCTGACACCATTCTACCGTGATATAGAACATAGATAGACCCATGACTGACGCGGTCAATGAGGTACCCGATACCCAGGTCAAGGTAATACCGTAGCCGTTCGACGTGAATTGTTGACTGAAATCAAGGTAGCCACCACCACCCGCCCAGTTACTGGTTATGCAGTTACAGGTTCTGTACAGCCCAGTAACTTGCGCCATAACGATACCCATCTACGAGCAAGTAGTTAGTAATGTACTTCTTACTCAGAGGACACAAAGGCGACTTACTAGCCATCCAGTGTTGAAGGTCTCTATGGGTCGGAAGAAGAAGAGCTCCCACTTTCTCTGCGGACGCATTTTGCCCAGGTCGCTCCGCATTTTCTCTAGGGTACCTTCAACTCTTTCTCTGATAGTTTCCTTGTCTGTGTACGGTACTTTGAGAGCAAGGAACACTGTGCAACGAATGAACAAGTCTAGGAAGACTTTACTGACTTGTGAAGCGCTTCGTTTCAGTCTTTTCCACCCCATTTGTCCGTAGTTCGCCCAATTGTTCAAGGTGTCATGTCCACATAGATGACTCTCAGCGCTGGTTAGCCAATGCGAATCAACCTCGTACGGCGAAAGGAACATCCAGACGGCCATTTCAACGATAAGCAGACCCGTTGCGATAGTGAAGAAGATGGTGTACCCACCGCTGCGACAACCAAGACCGATGGTGGGCGTGAAGTAGCTCAAGACAAATGCGCCTCCGCAACTCCCGCCGACGATGATGACCGCACTGATGATCTGCCAAAACTCTCGAAAATCAAACCAGACCAAACCCTCGTCGTTAACGGTCCCCAACACCAGATGTGCTCGTGCTTCGCGTTCCTTGAACAGCCAGTTACGGCCCTTCTCTTGGATATAACAATCCTCAATGTCGCACAAGATGGCATGTGCGGCACCATAATGCCACCTAACGCGTGCTTGACCAGCGAAATCCACAAAAAATTCGTCCATACACTGTGCTTTTGTCGCTACCTTCTCGATCCTGTCTTCTAAATCAGGGTAGTTTTTCTCTCCTTGGTAGAGTTTAAGGTACTCCCTACGATTCGGCGGGTCACTTAAAGAAATGCGAACGTGGTCGACCAAGGTGTTCAGTTTCTTGCGGATCGCTTCTGCTGCGATTGGGTTGCGGTCTACGATAGAGCTCATGATGAGGACGGGGAACCAAGCCAGCAGACAGCCCAACGCTAGATCGTGAGCAGTGGTGTTGGCCCCCAGTTCACTGAAAGCATCCTGGATGGAAAGTGCGAAAGCAAACAAGAACCACAAGATGGAAATAAAGACTAGGATACTAGTGAGCGCATGCGATCATATCGGATAAGAGTGATTACCTGGTACAGTGCCTCTTCTTCTCGTTTCGCGCACCTCTTGCGCCAGTATACGTCTCATCTCACGAAGCGTCTTGTCAGCATCTTTTAATATGAGGTCTCTGCTGAAGAGCGTGATGCGCAACAAGCACTCCGCCTCTTTATGATTATCCTTCGACATGACTGTTGAATTCAGTGTGTACTGGTTCAGGACCAGCAAGAGGTACATCGAGTCTCGCATGCTGGCAAAGTCGGTCGTGCGATGGTTCGCACAATGAGCCGTACAATTGGTCGTGCAGTCTCTTGTACAGTTGATCTTACAATCGGGCGTACAATCGAGCTCCTCGTATTCGGGCGTCTTGTCGTCGTATTTAACAGCCATGTCGACCATCAAGGCAGCTTTGGCGGAGACCTTGATGTTCCAAAGTACGTAGGACAGCGATGCGATGGGCGAGCCCACCCATCGCGTGATGGCCAGCACTGTTCTTCGAGCTGCGTTGCTCTCAAAGGGTGCTTGCAGGAGTATACCGATGGTCGGCAGTACCCATGTGGTTATTACCCCAGAAATATCCCTCCATGCGTATATATCCGGTCCTGAGCCACACACGTGTATGCACCCTTCTGTGGATATCTGTGTCATGTTATTGTACACAATACCAAAGATGGTACCGTTCCATCCCCATTGGCTGCGAAGTAACTCTCCATCGGGGGTGTTGGCTGTGAAGCGCGCTTCACATTCCGTGAAGTTGGTCATATCGACTGGAAGGCGCGCAAGGCAGAACTCGCTATGGAGCTTACATGGCGGGTGGGCATGTCCTTTATCTGAACAATAGAATGGGCGTTTGACTCAGAATGCGGTCTGGTCCTGGTGGCAGGACTCACCGTGGAGTTGACATGGCGGGTACATATCGCCTTCATCGCCCAGTGCGGTTGCTAGGCTGCAACGCCACCCTATGGCCTCCAAAATGATTGCCTATCAATAACAAGATATCCAGTAAAAAGGTACGAATATCGAGCCTCATTGTGAACCGGTGAGCGTTTGAGTACAGACGTCAGCTCTTGTACCACCTCACCTACCGTTCAGGTGGCTTGAATTTAGCCCAACCCGTGTCAGCCACGCATGGAGGGCGTGACGTGGTAGCTAGTCCAGGCAAGTGGGCAACAGCTTTTCCCTGGGTTTGAACAGCTTATATGGCATACCATCGATGTACTGGCGATGGCGCAGAAGTTGTTGGTGGTAGGACGTTGAGACGTCCGTTAATTTTGTGGCATGAGGATGAGACCGCACGGGCAGCGGGTGTAACGCAACAGATTCCCAGAGCCGAGGTAAATAAGCGCACGTCAATTTGTAGACTGTAGTATGCTATCGACATCGCGATGGTTGGCGCGCATAAAGAGTAATATGGTTATGTGTCTGTACGGGTGCGATACTTCTCTCGTTCGTCCTAGCGGATGGGCCGTATGGAAAGCGGAAGTTCTGATTGCCTCGGCGTCTCCGGGCCTCCTCTGGGTCATCGCAGTACTATAGGATGACGGTGGCGCAAAGAAGGCGTACAGGCAATAGAGATAACACTGAGATGAAGACACGATGGGATGGTTGGGTGGGGGGCGGTTTATTATCCCAACGACGCGTTCGTGATTTCGCGGCGGCAACCGCGCCCAGGCAAAGCGCGCCTGCCCATCACTGCCATCACGTGCTTCTAAACAATCGATCAGCGAATTAAAGATTCGCTTCCGATTCGAGCAACACCCCCAAAAATTACTCAAGAATTAAGGTTAATGCTACTACTTTGTCATCAATGAACAAAACACAGGGCAACAGGTGTCTCAACTATCCGAGTTGCTCTTGGCATTTTAGGGATAGCTAATTAGAGCCTCTACATCTACAAATTATACCCTATTGAGTAATGGCTATGCCATTTTAGGATACCAAGCATGAAACCAATAGTTGCAACACTTAATAAGGGAGAAGTCACAATCACGGCTCCCACAATTGAAGCAACATGGGGTGGAACCATGCTCTTATCAGCAAAATTCTACAGACCCTGGATAGAAGGAATTGAGGTCAGTACGGGCTGGAACATAAGCAGTAATAGTAGTACATCACGTGCCCGATTTCGAGCCGTCTAAGGCTTGGGTCCCGTCGTGTCTCGATTCAAGACATATGGGCATCGCGCAGGTCGAGAAACATGTATCAATGACTTGGGTATTCGATAAGATAAGCGTCGTAAGCGTGGTGCTCATCATGCTCATAATACATAAATAGGGTATCGTTTCCCTTGGTACAGCAGGTATATACAACAAAGATTTTCCCCATGTCCAACCATGCCAAAACACCATGCGATGCAAATATTTCATACAAAAACTCGTGAACACGCCGGCAACATCAGTTCAGACGTGCGCCTTCTTCCTCCCTCTCTTCTCACCCTCCTTTCTCATGCGCCCCAACCTGGTCCCGCTGCCAGGCTGGCTCGCCCTCCACCACGTCAGGGGTTTAATCTTGACATGCCAACCGCATTCCTCCACCGATTCGATTCTCTGTTTTGAAACGATGTTGCGGATCTGTTCCGTGGCTACGAGGGGCATGTAATGTCCTGGTGCGAAGAAGTCGCGTTCGGCGTCGCCCCGAAGCGCGGGACTTAGTCATGAGAAGAAGTACTTGGATTCGCGGAGACGAGATACGTCCCAGCCGCCCTTTTGCGGAACGGGCGGGAAGCTGAGTGGGATCCAGACTTGAATCGTACCCTGATCGTAAGCGACACGGGATGCCGATTTCTTCTTTGTCGCGTAGCGACCGCCTTGGGGGTCTTTTGCAAGATCTTCGGCGTCTTCTTCTACAATGTCCATCGTGGATTCGGTGGTGGTGACGGCGTCCTCTTCTTCGCCCAAGGCCTCGTCCTTAACCTGTGTTTCCCTGTCGGCTGACTTCTTATCTTTGGTCTCCCCAAGAAGACTAAGCCTGTACGAGTGGAGTGCCTTGGGATCCTGATTCTCAAGCCAGATGCTGGTAGGTGTGACCATCTCTTCACCTTGCTTCCTCTTCTCGGGATCTTGACTATTTAGAAGCTCTTGCCGCTTGGCCTCGAGCGCAACTTCCTCGAATGAAGCATCTCCGTGCCGTGAGCCATTAGCTTTCGAAAGAATGCCCTTAGCTTGACGGCGCTCATGTCTCCACAGGGTAATCTTCCGACTAACGTCCGCGCCGATATGAAGGGTGGCACGGTACATAGCCCCTGCATAACGCGCAGTGAACTCTGCGGCGAGACGGTCGACGATGTCTTCGGTGTGCATTCGTACGAAGGCATCGCGAAGAATGACGTTGAGGTTGGGGATGTCGGAAGCGTGTGTCCAGAAACTGTCGTGTACGGCGGCGAAGTCAAGACCCATCTCGCTAGCCTTCAATGCCGAAAGCAGCATGTGGCTCGCATCGAGAGAGTGGATGAAGTTGGGCGGAAACGCCTGAAGCTGTTTGCGTTTATCGACTTCATCCTGCTGAGACTTCTTGGCGACTGTAATGTCTTGAATCTTGGTCTTGATCTTTTGAAATCCATCTTTCCTGTAGGGCTGCACAATGGGCATCTTCAGTGGGGTAGTCCAGATAATGCTAGTCGTAAAACTCTCCATAGCCTTGTTGAGTTGCTTTAGTTGACCTGCAGAGACCTTTTGTGGCGCCTTAAATTTCGGATCGTAGAGTGCTCCAGAAGGGTCTGCGCCATCGAAGCGGTCTTTGATCCGTTTGATCTGCTCAGCAGTGATTGATGTCGTTATGCGCTCGCCACATTCGCCAAGCCAGTATTGGATTTCCTGAGCACCGTTGAAGATCTTACCCAAAGCGTCAAAGATTTTGTAGGCAATGTACAACGCGACGCTTCCGAGCGAAGAAACCTGTTTTGTGGGCTCGAAGTTAGGGAACAAGTTGCGTAGCTCGTCTTGCACCTGCTGCTTCGCACCCATGAAGGTAACTCCATAAACATTAGTCATGACTGTTCGCTTCACAACTTTGCGTGTAATGTGGCCGTTGATGAAGCAAGCTTGTGCTAGACCTTTCTCGGCGTCTTTTGCGACCATCTCTTTGACAAGTTCAGCAACACCAGTGTAAATATCCTGTGGTCTGTCGGAAGGCTCAAGATTGACCTGACGAGCACCGGCGTAGTCACCACCGAGCGCTGCGTAATGTTGGAGTCCGTTACATGTTCCATCCTGATGAACAGGTAATTGTGAAACAAAACGGGTCGGATCAGGCAGATCATGGGCGTTCTTCAGCTCCATGCAGCAAGACAAGCATTGCCATGGGTCTTCCGCCTGAGTCCACCACCGTCTGCCGCCCAAAGGATTTGTCGCAGAGTCGTAGATCTCTTCCAGATTATCCATGGTGAACTGTTCACGTTCTCGCAGACTAGCCTTATCGTAGCCGTAAAGGTTGGCAAGATGGATCTTGAGCCACTGTAAACCGACAGTACCGAGCTCTTTGCCGTTCGCAAACTTGAGGAGTCCTCTCGAAATATCGGATCCGATGTGATTGAGGATAGGCGGGATTGGATAGGCACGACCTCGGAAGTCGACGCTGTGCGGGAAGAATATCTGCTTTTCGTTCACGTATGCTCGTGCCGTCTCTAGCTGGAAGTTTTGGAAACACCGCTGCGAATGCAGACCACCCACGCTGTTCTCATATTCCTTTAGAGCCCTGCCCCACTTCGCCCGTTCCTGTAATGTGGCATCTCCAGAAGGTTCTTTGGGACGTTTGAGGCCATTAACAGAGTCTTCTCCTACAAGAGACCCAATACTCTCGCCAGAGTTCCACGCCTGAGCCATGACCTCGAAGACGGGAGTATTGATCTGCCAAGGTACACGACCGAGCACGTCCAGACCAGCCATGACTTTGTTCATGTCACCGTTTTCGATGGCTGACTTGGCATAAGCACGCTGTGCGCTATCACCTGCCTTTTGGCGAACTACCTTCTGCGGGATGGTGTAGTACCCTCCATCCTCAAAACTGGACCATGGTTTCGGTTCAACTACCATTGGTAGCCTGACTGAATGGATGCTATGCACAGAATCGGTTCGTAACTTGGAAATGAGCTCATGGTGAGGCACGAGTAAGCCCAGCTTTTTGCCTTGATGATATCCGACTGCATGATGGAAGGCGGCCATATTACGGGACAGCGTCTTGCCAGTTCTGGGGTCGTTTGCGGTCACGGTGAGGGTTGCGCTTTGAAGCAAAAGCTCTAAACAGAGAGCTCCAATCCGGGTTCGTACGGATAGTGGTATGTCGGCCTTTTCGATTTGATAGCTCATTTTCGGAGGTGCTGGTGTAGAAGAAGCCTCTTGGGTATCTTTAGTCTCTTTGGAAAGTTTCTCGACCAGATTCATCCGGGTCTGCTTGCGCTGCTTGCGGAGGAAAGCATCACGTCTCGTCTGTGACTCGGCGTTGAGGTAGTCTTGGACGTCGGTACCGATGGAAACAGACAGCGCGGCGACTTTGTAGGCGGAGTTGTCTTCGTCTTTACCCTTTACTGCAGCCTGAGTAGCGCGTGCAACTGTGATTGCGGCCAACTTTTCAGGCCTGCATCTCTCCAGCCAAACACCGTAGGAAAGGGCTTCATCACGCGTCTTGACCTTTTCGGGGTCGGACAAGGTGTCCTTTACGTTTGCAATACGCTGCTTGAACAGCGGTACGAGGGCAGAGTACCAGCCGTACATGATGGCCTGTATAGGCTTGGAGTTCATAACGCCATAGATACCAATTTCTTGCATCTTCTCATCTTCTTGTTTCCATCTCTCAACAGCAGCTTCTACTCCATCCTGTTCAATCTTCAGTTGTCGTGCGTATGCGTAAGCCCTGTCCTTGTCTTCTTGAGTCCCAGGCATATCATGTGGGTAGGGAACGCTTGACCCATCGTCGAACATGGTGAGGGCTTGCTTCAGCGAGTCGAGACCCATGCCCTTCTGTCTCACGGGTTTGATGGGCTGTGCTGGATTGGACACCAGACCGTGGTCTATAAGGTTCTTGCGACCAGAGGGAGTGGCGACGTGGAGATCCTGGACCTCCTCGACCGAGGGGGGTTCGTTGAAGGACTCCGGTTGCAGACGGATCAATAGGTCCCACTCCTCGTCGGAGAATTCGGGAGAGGCGTTGATCTGGTCAAGAACATGGTCGCCGTGTCTGCGTGCGGTTGCAATGTATTCCCGTACTGCGTTTTCCTGCGTGCCCTCGTCTAGGAAGCTCATAGCCGCCCGGATTAGGGTAACAAAAGTCTGCGCATTGGGCTGGATGCCCTTTGCGACCATGTTGTTCTTGTACCAGTCTTGGACTTTCTGCATGCCCTCGGCACTTGGGTCCATCTGGTTACTCTCGAGCAGCGTCTGCAGATAGACATTGTTGGCGTCCAAGAGCTCTGCAGCTTCGGGATTGAAGACGGAGGCGAGGCGGGCGATGATGCTGGCAGCTCGGTCCAGGCGGCCAACCCGCAGGCAGGCGTAGAGATTCTGGTGTAGCTCGATTGGGTCGGCACCGAGGCCGTAGACAGAACGCATCGGAGGGGATGCCGCTAACGTGTCACGCACGACGAGAGGATTTGAAGCGTCCCATGGCTGGAGCCGCGACAACTCAGGCGATTGGAACTGGCGTCCTAGCGACAGCGCAAAGGGATCGAAGGGGAGGGCCGAGGGCGGTGGGGGTTGCATCTGCGCAGACGTGGCGAGGGAGCGTGTCTCGTGCCGTGACGACAGTGAGGTCGGTCGTTGCCGCTGCCGTTGCCGTTGGCTCGCATCATGTGGTGTGTGTGAAGTCTTGCGGGAGAGCGCTGGGCAGAGCCACGGCAGCGTCAATTGCTGCGACAGCGTCGAGGGCGTCGTGTAGGCATTTCTGCGGATGTTCCGCCCTAACGCTCGTGAGAGCATGTCGTGGGAAGGAGCGTGGCGCGTGCAAGTCTATGGGGTATTAAACAGATAAGAAAGAAAGAAAGACCAGACTGCTCAACGCCGGAAGACAAGTGGAAGGGACGATGCAGTAAATCGGGGGTATCAACTGGACGTCGAGTTGCCTCGCAGTTGAAGTTTCTCTCTCATGGAAATTTTGGCCGACCATCAGATCCATGCCCGCGTCATCACCGAAACGGCATCGCCCCACCTTGGCACCTTCCTCGCCACCCGAGCCACTAGCCACGGCCCTGCGCCTCTAGCACGAGATGATTACATAACACATCGATCATTCGCATCAGCATCAAGTGAAAGTGGTATTATACAAGCTACATTTCGAGCTCGACCCATCATGGTTCTACACTTTCAGCTGTAGGTCTCGTGATCGTCCTTTCCCTCGTCGACGTCGCTATGGGTAGCGCATCCTCAATCAGCTTCTCCAGCTCATCATCAATGGGCGCATCAAACATCTCCACCTCTCTCGTCTCGTCATCCACCCAGTCACTACCATCCTCGTCTCCGAAGCAGAACAAATCACCAGCTTCACCAGCAACAAACTTCTTATGCTTGCCTTTGGGTATCTTGCAGCCTCCAACTTCCGTGCGGAACAAGTCGGCGTACTCTTTCGCAACGGTAGATGTGTTTGCGGGAGCAATATGTTTCCCGTCATAGAGAAGGTGGGGCAGGTGAGGTATCTCGGGTAGGTCGCCTTTAAAAGGCAGCGCTTGGTGGAGGGGCACTGAGCCTGGGATGACTGGCGGTTCGGGGTTTTGCGGTGGCTTGGGCGGTGTATCGGCGCGCAGGAACGGTGCATCTGTCTCCTTTGGTACAGTTGAACCTTCTTTTCCGTCCTCAGATGGCGTCGCGGAGAATTCCTCGGGGATGTGATACAACTCGGTGTGGATGGTGACCAGTGCATTATCCATCGCTGCAGGATACAGGAGCGAATAACCTCGCGCCCGCATAAACTCTAGCATGTACTCTGTCCATGCCGGAAGGGTCTCAGAAACCAGCTTCCCCCGAGATGTTGACTTGGCCGACTGCTGATGTTTCACAACACGGTTGCTGAGGAATGAATGCCACTCTGCCCATTTGTCCCCCAACAACAACACCGCATGGCTGTTTGGAGCCTGCCACATGTAAGGCACGCTCTTAGCGTCAGGATACAACTTCTTGTACCGATCCGTGTGCATGTCGCTAGTCGAAGGAGCCTCCAGCTTCGTCTTGCCATCTAAGAGCGTCGGTGGTAACTCCAGGCTCATGCCCATTAGCTTTTCGTTATCCTCTGCACCGTAAGTAGAGTACTTGTATTCCAACAACGCATACTTGACAAAGTGGAAGTACTGTGGCGATAGCTGAGCCTGCGGTGAGAGCAGTAGCACGTGCGAATTGGCTGTGCTTGCAGGGTAGAACAATTCCAAGAAACGTATCGCCGACTCCTCTTGATCATGGCGGTGGGTTGAGATGCGGCGTCTGATGCTGAGGCCGCTTCCTGTCGTTGGGTTGTCACTCTTTGGGGGCCATTTGAACTTTTCAATGTGCTCTTTAACTGATACATCGAGCTCGGCTGGTAGCTCGATCGTGATGCGGGGCAGTGTCAGACCGCTGTAATCAGCATCTTTGATCGACTCCAGCAGTCGAAGAACACTGGATGAGCCCGACGGAACTTGGATCAGAATGTCTACAGTGGGATCGTGCCAGTGCTTGAGCGAGCCGGCGTCAAGTCGCGAGACCCAAGCGAAGTCCTCCAATCTATCCTTTGGTACTTCGACAAGAGGCATCTTCAGCGCACTGGTTTTACTTCGCATGCCTCGCACGAAGAATGCATCTTCAGACATCGAGTCGTCGATAACGACTGCTTGTGGATGCAGGAAGCTATTGATGTGCGACATTGCTCCTGTCACCGCTGTCTCAGCGCGTACATCGGTACTATACCTATAAGCAGCCTTTGATCAGCACTGTCTGTTCTTAAAGAATCTTTGCACGACATTCCTTGAAGACTCAAGATGAAGAGTCGCGCGGGTGTACATACTCTGTATAATCCGGTCGCGCATCATGCCACACGGCAGGACACTTAACCTTGTCTATCCCATTTATCTCTAGCAAATCTTCTATTGGTATATCCTCCCTCCCCATGAAAGCCGCGTGTACGTGGTTCCTGTTCCATTGCGACATGTCGCACACCATTGGCAAAAGCGTCGAAACGCTCTTCAGATTCGACATGGCAAATAGTATATTCCTATTCTTCTTCTCGTACCCACCCGTTGCCGAGGCAGACGCGCGCAGCGAGCTAGCGAGACGGAAGAAGCGTATCTGCCCATCGTATGTATGCGGGATTGCGTCTCCGCGTCTGGGTTTTTGTGTGCCCGGGGGCGGTCCCGTAGGTTCGTCGTCGTTGCCGGTCGCGCCCGGCTTCTGATACGTCGATGAGATGGGTCGTCCGCGATATCGCTGTTCGACCACCGGGTCTTCGAGGTCGTCCGAGCTGCCATGGAAGGTGTAGTACAAGAGGCATAAGGCTACTATCGCGAGTAGTATTCTTCTCCGTCGCCAGCGGAATGTGTGGTTCCACATAGACCAGCTAGACTGGCGCGCGGGCTTGTATCGGTGGTCGTCGTCTTTCTTGCCCAGCTCTTCATCGCCTGGGAGCGTCGTCTTTCGATACATGACGCCGCGAATGGAGCTTCGCTGTAATCACGCGCTGTACAAGGTCTATCTCTCCGCTAGCATTCATCCATGGCGATATCGGATTAAATGTCGCGTGCGATTCTACGTACGGGCGGCGGAAGCTGTGTGAGCATGCGACGGGTTGCTGACCTCAGCTATGGGGGTAATACGGAGGGTCCCAAGTTGAGAGAAACGGATGCGCGTATCCTAAAACCATGAATACAACATAACGGGTGGTGTAAGGTCCCTTCAAAGGCGTGTCGGAGGCAATGGAAGAGGACATCTGGAGTTGCGATAACCTCGATTCATTGTCCTCTCGGAAAGCACATCCCTGCAACGCATCATCCCGCTCGCTTGCAGCTGCCGCCACGTGCCGTCTACGCTACTGCGAACCCTCACCTGCTTCCCTCCAGGGCTCACAACTGCCATCTCGTCCCAAAATCACGCGTGAGCTGCCACATCATCGCTTCTTCGACTGTCAGTATTGGCGGGCTGCATACGATCATCACGCCGATTTCTAACACAGCTGTGGAGCTTTACGGACGCCGAAAGCCATTTAGATTAATCAATACGCCCACGCCGGACCAATCTATCCATCTACTACTCACACCTTCTCATGCTCAGCCAATCGCTCATCTGCCGCCTTCAGAGCCTCACGCAGTACCTGCTCATTCCGCGGCTTGAAGAGAATCTGGTAAGGCCGGCACATAGTCACCAGACTGGTAGGGTCTGAGCTGCCACGGACAGGATGCACGTCCACCTCCGACTCCGATACAAGCTCAAAGCTGTTCAGCATGCGCAGGAAAACGAGATACAGCTCGCGATTGGCCAACAATGAGCCTGCGCACATCCTGTAACCCAGCCCGTATGTGTGCAAAGGTGCATCCGGCTGCTCGAGCCAGCGCTCGGGGCGGAACTCGTCGGGGTCGCTCCAGACCTCGGGATCTACGTTGTAGTCAGTATCGCTGTTCCTAGTGTAGATCGTGAAGACTGAGAATGGCTTACCCATGTTGCACGCCCATGCGTTCAGATATATCGTACTACCAGCTGGGATAAGCTTACCCTCATACATGACATCCTTGATGGTCGCACGAGGCAGCGCCAGTCGTAGTACAGTATAGTAGCGCAGACACTCTCTGACCAGTGCGACGATATATCCGCACTTCTGGTCGTCATACGCATCCGCGAGCGGCTCGTCCTCCGAGTAAAACTTGCGGATCTCCCTGATGGCTTTTTCTTGGATATCCGGTCTTTGAGCCAGCAACGCGACACTCCACTGCACAAGGGTCGTGATTGTGTCTAGACCGCCAGACAACATTGTCAGACTGATGGACGTCAACTCCTCCTTGTTCAGCGCGGCTTCTTTGTCCTGGATGATATTCGCCTGGATACATGTCTTGTGGGTGCCTTTTTCCATGCGTTCGTCTAGCTCGCGATTCAACTTGGTCAGATACACATCCCTTCGGCGACGATGCTCTTTCGCAGACTTTGTGCCAGAGCTGAAGGGGTTGAGTCTCAGCAGTGGAATGTAGTCCTGCAAGTTTCCAGTCGTACTACGGAACTTCGAGATGGCTGCTTCGACCTCGCATATCTCATGGAACATAGGGTCGTGACGGCTGCTCATCCGCGTTCCCCAGTTGAGAGTCAGCGCAAGAGAAAGAGAGAGGCGCTCGATCATGGGCATTGGGTTGACACCAACGGTACCGGCCTGTCCTGACTCGAGTCCGTCCTTTACAAACTCTTTCGTTTCAAGATCTAGGTGGTCGATGTACGTCGCAATCGACGGCTTGTTAAGCGCGGCAGCAGCGCCCTTTCTCCTTCGCTTGAGCGAATCGTTGAAGGGTGAAGTTCCGATGGTCGTACCAGCAGTGTTTGAAAGAACCTGACATCTATCAGAGACATGTCAACATTCCCGTTTCTCTCCACTCACCTTATGGAACGTCCAAAAGACCGGCCTTGAACTCAGCGCCTGGCTATTCCCACCAAAGATCTTCCTTGCAGCCTCAGCGCTGTTCACCACGATCACCGGCTCGTTCCCCAGCTGTATCTGGTACACAGCGCCAAACGTCTTGCTCCATTCCCGGTACTTCTCCGCCGCGTTGTACTTGATATCCGGGATATTGCCAACCAAAGGCCAGTTCGTCGGCCCAGTAAAACCCTTGATGCGCCGCGAGTATCGCACATATTCGTTTCCGACAAGATAAGATATCGGAAAAAGTATCAACAAGACGAACAGAGTGCGAACTGGATGATCTGCAAACTGCGATGATAGCAGCGGGAGGACAGTGGAGATCATGGTGTTCGCTAGTGGCTCC